GAGGAAAAAGTGCCAGAAAACGGGTCCGCTTTTAATTTTGCGCACAAAAAGCAACCAGTGCAATTCCAGCAATTGCCCCAGTGTACTGTCCCATCATCTGATGCTCGAGAATGCACAAACATAACTCATCCCCTCTCCTCTTTACCCTCTGCTCCCCGTGGGTCGTCGACGTGTGAAAGATGAGGTTTAATGCGCAATTTTACAGAAATGTTTTCGCAAATTCTTCCAAAGAAGAACACTGCGGTGACCCCCCCCCCCTTCCACCTCTCCAACCTCTTTCCAGAAATGTATTTTTGAAATTTGAGGGGAAAAAAACATTCGTGCAAACATTTGCACAGCAAATTTTTGCATGTTCCGTACCATGATTATCAAGAATGCAGAGTAATCAATGTGGGTATCTCATATAAGGAATTTTATTGGAATGCCCCCAAACGATGAAACTGTGCCAGGCCATTGACCATCAGTTGCATACCTCCAGTTGGTACTCACCGCCTGTTCGATGTATGTGAGATACTTTTTCACAGTCTGCCCGAGTGGTCGCTTAATTTTTCACGATCCGCCCGAGTGGTCGCTTACTTTTTTAAGGTCCGCCCGAGTGGTCGCTTACTTTTTCAGAGCCTATCCGAGTGGTCGCTTACTTTTTTAAGGTCCGCCCGAGTTGTCACTTACTTTTTCAAGGCCCGCCCGAGCGGCCGCTCACTTTTTTAAGGTCCGCCTGAGTGGTCGCTCAACTTTTCAAAGTCTGCCCCAGTGGTCGCTTGCTTTTTCAAGGCCTGCCCGAGTGGTCGACTACTTTTCCAAAATTCGCCTGAGTGGTCGCTTACTTCTTCAAGGCGCGCCCGAGTGGTGGCTTACTCTTTCAAGATTCACCCGAATGCTCACTTTTCTAGCAAGTACCATTCCTTGATGCATAATACTCAGTCGATGTATGTGAGATGCTTTTTCAAAGTCCGCCCGAGTGGTCGCTTAGTTTTTTAAAGTCCGCCCGAGTGGTTGATTACTTTTTCAAGGCCCGCCCAAGTGGTCACTTGTTTTCCCGTAAGCACCATCTCTTGATACACAGTACCCAGTACCCGTTAGGTATCAACGAGGCCAGCAACTCGTCCTGCCCAACAAATTGTTTTTTCTTGAACGCCCACCATGATATCTTTGAGGCCTCAGATTCACAGTCTGATTATTTATATGGTCACACAGGGCGATACTCCAAGCATCGCTCTTACCGTTCGCTTCTTTTATTTCATCACTGGCCATATTTTTTAAGGTTTTTTTTTGATTCAAGCGCCTTCTAAACTTACACTGCAACTGCCATACGTGAAATCTAAGCACATGTGAACGCTAATTTTAAAAAGGGAAGGTGGCACACAGGGTAGGAATATGCTCTCAAAATTTCAGTTCCCAATTTCCAAGCTTTTCCCATTGCCGAATTGAAAGTAGGCAACAAAGTTCACTCGCTTCCGAACACACATTCACACACAAAAAAAATCTCGAATAACCTCCATTTTTATAAAATTTGCAAAAAACGCTCACTTACTCGTACAAAGGCCACTACGGGCGTGAAATTAATCTCAGTGGAAAAATTCAGTCTGAATCAGAATATATTCAACGAGGCAGGTAAAACCAAAAAAAATTGACGCTAAAAAATGTAAAAAAAAATTTAAAAACATTTCTTGCAAAAACAAACATTTCTTGCAAAAAAAACCAAATTTTCTTCGTAAAAATATCCCACAAATATGTTGTCCTATCTATAAATTTTTATAGTTCTTAAACAAAAATCAATTATCGAACCCATTACTGAACGGGGAACGATGCTACAAGCCAATGAACCGTATGATTCGCGGCGACCTGTATTGCTCCATGCGATGCTGCTCGGGAAATGGGCCAGATCGGCGAAGCAAACGAACGGGGAGAGTAGGAAGAGAGGAGAGGGGACGGGGAATAATCAAACCATCGGAGGGGAAAAACACACTTTTCACGTATTTTATGATCTAAAAATCCTTTTTTTCTTTCAGACCCCCTCCCTTACCGCCTCTTCCCCCCCCCTTCCCCCTGTCCCCAGCGATATCCTCTATATTACGTAGAATTGCTTAAAGGCAGTCAATTAATATTTAAAATTGTTTTTTTTTAAATGGTTCAAAATTGACTCAAAATTTAAAATGAGTTAAAAATGAATCAAAAATTAACTTCCGAAAAGCTGTCGACAGCAATCTCAAGAATTAAAAGTACCATATATAAATAATGATGAAAATAAATCAGATAAGCAGCAATCACAAAGATTCTTTTTATTTTCTATAAGTAATATACGGGAACACACACACATACACACGAAAAATACTTCCAAACATACACACAGACAGGCACACACACACGCACGTACACACACACACACACACACCGATGCACGCATGAATAAATACATACACACAACAAATACACACACGCACTCATCCACATGTACAACACATGCGAATACACACGTATGCATACACACACGCACAAACACACACGAACATACATGCATACACGCAAAAACACGCACAGACACGCATACATATATACACACTCATGTATATACACATACACACCTACACACACACACACACATACACACAAACATGCTAAGAAAAAGCGATCGTTTTCTTAGCAATATTCTAATATTTTATGCAATGTGTAAGACGGTAACATCCAAATTCAATGCACTTCCTGAAATTTTCTAGCAAAATTCGAAAAAAAAAACTCTTACCACCACCACCGCTGACTGCTCCGGTGCTATAGCCTCCGGATTGACGGCTCTGTGTACGGACGGCCGTACGTGGCTGGATGGTTGAACGATAGGCCATCTCATAATCGCTTTCGGTGCTATGCTTTGTGGTTGACATTCTGCTACTGCTGCTGCTTCACTGATCGTCAACAAAATTTTCTGTGATGTACTCGAGAATGCACGCGTTTCTCAACGTT